TATGATTCTATGATTCTACATACGCACTGCCGTTGGTAAGTTCTAGAAAATAAAGTGATTTGAGTGCAGAAGGGGAGGGTACAGTAGGTTACAGAAGGCATTTGCTTTACTAACCCTGCGTTTGTAGAGTCTGGAGAGATCCCTGGTTTCCCTTGGTGCAGAATGATTTTTAACATATTTATTTTGTGAAGTTGACAGAAACATCCTCCCGGTATGCAAGAAAAATTTCTGGTACCACAGCCCTGCAGGAGGCTCTGAAGGAGAAGCAGCAACACATCGAACAGCTCTTGGCAGAAAGGGACCTGGAGAGGGCGGAAGTTGCAAAAGCAACCAGTCACGTAGGGGAAATAGAGCAGGAATTGGCACTTGTTCGCGATGGACATGATCGGGTAAGAGTGGTGCTGGTGTCCTTACAAGAGTGTTTAAGATAAGCGACTACATTCCCAGACTGCATTTTCTTGCTGGAAAGGTCTGGGAGGAAGGCTTGGTGTTCTAAAACTGCAGTGGGCCATAGCTGCGAGATCTCCTTGTGGGCACTTTGGCTTGATGAGAGGCCAGTCTCTCATTTAACTAACTTCGGTTGAACTTCCCCACGCATCCCAATAAGCGATGGTTTTCTTTTATCATGTGTATATGTGAATATTACAACAGTCCTGTGCCTTGGCCCATCCCTTTGCCAAACTGTGATTCCTGAGGTGTAGACGCATGACTTGGAAAAAATGTCCAAGATTTTGTTCTTCTTTTTCCTGCTAATTAGCATGTACTGGAGATGGAAGCAAAAATGGACCAGCTACGGGCTATGGTGGAGGCTGCTGACAGGGAGAAAGTGGAGCTGCTCAATCAGCTGGAGGAAGAGAAAAGGTAACTGAAAACTGCATAACTGTGTTAAAAACCAAACTTTACATTAAAAGCCAATGCTGTGGCAACTTTGAAATATGAAACAGACTTCAAATAACGGGTAATTATTGATAAAATCGTATTACAGTTTCTTAAAACTACAAAGAAATTCTCTAAGATTTGGGAGGGAAAGTCCAAAGCAAGTGGACTTGATCAGAAGCTGTGACTGCTGTCTATAGCTGAATTTATTGCAACTCATTCCTTTTACAAAGGATTTTATCCCTACTTATATGAAATTAATGGATCGTGCCTGATCTGCTTTAAACTCCTCCGCTTCAGAACGAGCATTTTGATAATCTCATTTCCTGACAGTGCTGGATTAAGAATTTACACTTTAGTTCTCTTGTGAATAATTTATTACTGCTAACCAGGTGCTTCTAGGTAGGGTCTGTCTCTCACAGGAAAATCATCAAAGCCATTAATTTTTAAGACTTTTCTAATGGTCTTTTTTAACCATTTGAGGAAAGGAACTGAGGTTACCAAATCGGTAAAGTGAAGTTAGGAAAAAAAATAATGTGATAAAATGCTGGGGCAAGGTTAGGTGAGGAAATATCTGATGGATTGTTTTGGTGGATTTGGACTGCTTTTGAAAAGCGACGTCTGTTTGGAAGCCCACTGAGAGTCTGCCCTGTAGGCTGGTGTGCACCCTGGAAATCAGTCCGATGTCAGCCTCTCTGAAAGGGCTTCCTAAAAGTAGAAATGGGAGATAAGAAAACACGATGGTAAACCCTGGGATTATTTTATAGTCTCCACCAAATAGCACAGTGGGTTTTTGAATTAAAAAAGCAGCTTTGCAGCAGCTCCGGTAGCCTGGCTGTGAACCTCCTTTCGCTGACTGCCGGGTCAGTGGGGGTCTGGTTTACCGCAATCCTCCGTGGCCTTGAGCTCACCTTCAGCGCGTTGCTAGGCAGCCTGACAGTGCCGCTGTGCGCCTGCTACCCGTCACCCAAGTGACGTCCTGCCGCCGGGAAAACATTCACGGCCTCGGCAGTGTGGTACTTCTCCTTCCTCCTAACTGCTCCAGGCTTGTTTACTTTGAAACTTTGCTCTAATATATAGTCAAGTCAGACTCAGCAGCGACTTGGAGTCCAATAATCTTTAATCCTCTGTTTCCCAAGCACATCGGTGAGACCCGCTTCCAGTATTAAGTTCTTACTGCCCTTTTATCGGAGACATCGCTCACTTGTAACTCTTGGATGCAGTGATTTCTACAGCTGTCAGCCAGGCTGCGGGCTGCAGCAGCGTGTGCGAGTCAGAGGAAAGCAGACATGCTTGTCCCTTCCCTTGCCACGTCTTAGTGTTGAAAGGATCAAGGGGAAAAGGAGGAGAACCCCTTGTTCTTCGGGGTCTGCCAGGGGAGGGAGGAAGTAGCTTTTTACAGATTTTACTTTAAGGCAGGTGTTAGCTTCTCACCTGGGTCTTCTCATTCCAAGACTCCTGTATGGGCAAGCCGAGTCAGTGTTCTTGCTTGTGCTCCCATTCTGTGTCTTGCGGTTCATCCTGACGCCCAACACGTTCGGCTGGGTAGAGCTTTAATGCGGGTTGACCAGCGCGCGTCTCGAAGGCCCGTGGGTGTTGTGGGTGCGTCCTCACCTCCCGCTCTTTCTTAGGTGAACAGCACAATGTACAGAATGTGGAATGAAACTGTTCCTTTGAGGATGTGCAGAAGGGTGAAAAAATGAGAGAATCGATGATGACCTAGAAGTTTTCTTTTTTAACTTGTCGAAAAATACAACAAAATACTTTATAGAGCCGTGGGAAGACCAGTACTTTGCTTTGCCAGTGGTTGTGTTTTAAAGACAGTGGCTTTCCCTCTCTCTGATGCTTCCCGTGAGAGGTTTCTCCCTAATGTTTCTGGCAGTCTGCTGGTACAGGCACGCTGATGCCACTGTAGTTCTGATTGCCACCGAAAAGGGAGCTTGAAGCGTTTTCTTTCCAAGTTACCTGAATTTTACTGAATTGTCCCCACAGGAAAGTTGAAGACCTTCAGTTCCGTGTGGAAGAAGAATCCATTACCAAAGGAGACCTAGAGGTAAAACATCTCCAGCTTTGTAAACAGGATATGTGGTCGGACGCAGAAATGCGATCAGTGCCAGTTAAGTGTACTGTTCCCTAGAAGAGAAAGGCAGGAATGATTAGTAGATGCAGTCACCGCTCCAGGCGGATGCGAAGCACGTGGAAGCTGTGCAGTCCTGGGGTGAGCCAACCACCCTGGAACTACAGGATCGCAGCCTTAATTCAGTCCCATGCTTTGGCGAGGTTTGTACTCTGGAACAGCTGTAGGTTTTTAGTAATTCAGTGAGCTCATAGAAAACTCCCTTTTGCTATTTTACATTATTTTATATTATATCTTACTAATGTTTCCAAAATTGCTTAAAAGTAACCACCACCAAAAAATCATTTGAATTGATGAAATCGCAAGTTAACGTTTACGCCTTTGAAAATGAGTATTGAAGCCTAGGTCTGTTGAGTTATTCAACTCAAATTATCGATAACTCAAAGTTACCAATTTGTTATTTGCAATAACAATCTTAGGGAGGATTGATTAGCCAACGGTGTTTTCTCCTGAGAGTTCTTGCACACAGAACCTAACCAGCAATTCACGTGTGCCACTGTTAGCGTTCAGCTGTTCATGTAACTACAACTTTGGGTTCAAACACAGTATGTTGTTACCCAGTCAGAACAGAAAACCTTTAATGAGGGATGGCTCTCGGATATTTGAACGCTGCCAAGCTTTGTCCCAAATTTCCAATTAAGAAGTAAGATTGTCAGTTCCACTCTGGCTGATCAGACGAGCGTTAGAACTTCTTGCACAGCGTAAAGTACAAGCGTAATTAACTTGCGTCCCTGTGAACCATTTATGGTTGAAGTGCTAGCCTTATGAAAATTACTCATTTCATATAACATTTCTTTTATTTTAGTCTTCCATTCATTTTAAGATACCTATCTAGACTCCTCATAGAATGCTCCCTTATTGTGTAGTCCATGGAAAACTTGAATTTTTTATGTTTTGTGGAATCGGGCGACAGTGACGGCAAACCATGGTAAAGGCTCTGGTTTGTCAAGCTGCGTAACTTCGAGTTTAAACTGAACGCCAGAGAACGCGATGTACCCTGTTGTTTGTGATGGAATGGTAGTGCGAAGTCTGCAGGTGAAACATTTCTGTTTGTTTGTTTTTCAATTTCACGGATAGCGAAAGAGGCAGATTTCGGAAGACCCAGAACATGTAAGAGGGCACTTGAATGTGCGGAGACATCCCGTGTTAACAGATTGTGTGCAGAAAATGCTTATACTTATTCACTAACTGCATAATCTGTTACTGAGGCGTTGACTCTAGTATTCGTGTGCATGTTGCTTTCAGAGCAATTACAACATCTGTTGAAAAGAATGTGTGTAATGACTAAACGTCGTAATCCCCATTAACCGAAGAGAGGGCGAAGGTGCCATTAGAGTTCTTTAGGGTCAAAACTTTGACACTAATCGAAGAGTAGAGGAGCTCGTGGAAAATGACCGTCCAGGACCTTGGAATGTCTTTCGTTTCAACGCAGGACTTCAGTTGCTTTCTTCACAAAGCCCTGCACGCTTTCCTGCGAGCTCCTGCTGCTGTTCGACAGATGCAGTGGGCAATTAGCTGATGAATTTGTCTTGGGGGGGAAAAAACATCACTGTGTTCCCCACCTCCCCTTATTTGCTGGGGTTTTTGGGGAGAGATGATCCTAAGGGGAGGAATGATTAAAAACATCCGAGGAATTAGTGTGCAGAGCTGCTCATTTCACTGTCTCTTCATGTAGCTTCTCTTGGGGTTACGTAGGAAAGAGCGATGTTACGGATAACCTTACAGGAGGTTTAAGCAGCCCTCTGGCCTCCGTGGCTCAGAACGGTGGAATCTAAAAGCCCTCTCTTTGATTGGACTCAGGACAGTGTATCCCAGGCTGCCTCCTCTGCTGCATCCCCAGCCGAGATAGGAAGTTCTCCAGACTAAAGCCGGGTTCCTGCTGGGCGTTCTTAGGTGTTCCTTTTGCGAAGCTTCTGCAGCCATCTGGGTCTCCTCTATTCTTCCAATCAGGCTCACGGTGTGTTAGAAGTAAATCTGCATGCGCCCTTCCTCTCTCTCGTTTTGTGCACTCCCTGTTTAATCCTGTCTTTACTCCCGATTTCCCTATTCTAATTTTCCCATGCCAATGGACATCTTCACTCTCTAGAGAAGTGGGTGGTCACTTAGTTTCTAGGCCAACGCTTCGTAATCCCAGTCGTGTTCTGTGATCGTTAACCCAGCATGAAGGGACAGAAGGTCGTTTTGCCCCTCGTCCTAGAACTGGTTATGGCCAGCGTGCAGGATTCCAGTTTGATCTCCAGGCGGAGAACATAGCAGTGAGGTTTATTGTGTTGTGAAAGAGTAGCTAGAATACACCAGTGCTGAGAAGAGCTGGTGACTGGTCTCTGAAGTTTATTTGGGTGGAATTCCCTAAGGTTCAAGGCAGAGTGAGGCTCGTCCCATTTCCCCATCACTCCTAATCTAACTGCAGAGCTTTGGAGAAGGTGAAGATGCTTCCTTTCTCAGTTCTGTTTATTTCTTTCCTTTTTTTTCTTCCCCGTCCAAGTTAAGGTTTACAATCCGAATGTTTTCTTCATTTTGTAGTACTCTTGTCTTCTCAGTGTACTGTGCTCTGAGCTCCGCAAAGAGAAACATAATCATGTGGACGCTTCTCTCTGCATGATCAGGGGAAAAATTTGAGTGATTCAGAATTTTGCAGTGATTTTTACCTGAGGGAAACTGGAGCCTGTCCCTTGGAATCTGACTTGTTTGAAGGATCGTCCCTCTTGCCCTAAACGGGGAAAAAGGTGCCCAGCAAAGATCTCTGGAGGGGTTTTTTTCCCCTCATCTTTTATTTTGAAATTTTCAGGATTTTAACTTATTTCCCTTTGTAACATGTAAGAGATGGGATTAAAAAACCCCCAGTCATCAGTGAAGGTCTGTCTGATCGTTGCAGGATTAAAGCGATGTCTGTAAAACTAACGATCAAAGTGGTTTGGGCTGTAGGCAGCGCAGAAAAACTGAAGAGAGCAGAGAATTCTCTCAGGTTTGGGGTTTCTGGGTTTTCATAGATCCCTTTGGTGAATTAGAGCAGGGAAGGTATGCATATCTGATTTTTAAAAGCAGATTACTTTTCAGACACCGTTTTGTGGTGGACCATAACCAATACTAACCTGTCTCAGAGAGGGACTGAATTCTAGCCACTTACAAAATGCTGGTATTTCCCTTGGAATACTTAGTTCCATTTTCAAAGGCTGTGGGAGACAAAACCAGTAATCTCTGTTCTTGTAGGGTTTTTTTTTCCCATATACACTGAAGATCTTCCACTCACAGAGAAACAAATCTGCCATGGAATGTCAAAACAAAGTCTAAGGAGCGACTTAGCATTCCTGATTTTGATATTTTGGACCTAATAACGCTATAGCAAAACAGCCCAGTGTTTTTAGCTGGAAAAATGTTTTAAAGATTAGGCCGCCAGATGTCTGCGTGGTTTTGGGAAAGAAGATACCGCGACGCTGTCAGAAGGAACGAGTACTGTGTCTGGAGGAGCACAGCCCTGGAGCAAAACACGAGGCTCGTCCCCATCCCGCTTGCCCTGCAGAGACCCCTTCGGGTCTCCAACTGCTGCGGCTGGTTTCAGGCAGGACTCCTCAGCTTGTCGCTCTGTCGCTGTTCCGGGGGGGGGTTTTAAATAGCATGTTACAAAGATCAGAGCAGCAGCAGTGTCCCGCCAGCTGCGCGCACGCTGCCGCGCTGGGCCTTTGGCAGCAGCATGACGTTGGAATTCTGCGTGTCTTCCTGCCTTTTCGGATTCTTTCAGCCCGGCGTTCAGTGGGCTCAAGCTGTTCGGGCTGCAGGACTCTCTCCTGTTAAGGGTAGTTCCGAAGGTTTGGGGGTTACTGTGTCTCTTTGTTCTGCAGTAAGCTAACGGTTAAGCTGTGTGGAGAACTTTCATCAAGGCTGAGGGATGCGACGTCTTTGGTAATCAACGCATCTTCAGCGTCATTCGGTCTTGTGGACGCCCACCTTGCTCCGTGCGGGCAAGCCCTGAAAAGCTGCTCCTTTTGGAAAAGACGCTGAAGGAACAACAGACTTTGGTCATCCTTTTAACGTGGATTGTTTAGTAAATTTAAACTGACAGGTGACCTGGTAAGCTTGAGGCGACACGCACAGCTCAGCACTTCAGAACTAAGCGTGGCACCTGGTTCTTAGCGCTTTACACTTTTTCTCCCACCTCCCTTTTTCCCCTCTCGGAGGGGCAGGTCAGAACTCGCTGCTGGACCTTACCTGCCTCTCTCAAACCTCAGGCTCCGTTGTGGGCCTCTGGGAGTGTCTGGGTATTGGGCCAGATCAGCCAACATTCGCTGTTCATC